ACATGGTGTCGTAACAAAACCAAGAAACAAGTGCTGCAAATGTTCGTAGCAACCGGAGACGTGCGTTTAACCGAAACAAAAATGCAATTTCACTTCCAGGACTATTTAAATATTTGTGCAGAATTGTGAAGAAAAAAAAGCAAAGCTAAAAGAGAAACATTTTAATAAAACTAGTGATGAAGCACATCAGTGTTTATTCTCAGTTCCCAAACCACTTGTACCAGTATGCAGTCAGGCTCAAACTCCTGACTTACCAGTCAAAGATACATGTACCGTATTTTACGTCGTACACGTCGCACCGCCCTATAAGATGCATCGGTTCAAATATTCATTCATTCAATCTTTATTTAGACAGGTTGATCCCATTGAGCCTCGAGGACTCATTTACAAGAGAGACCTGATTTCAACAAAGAATGATGACAACAGTGAATAACAACGACAACAATAGACAGTCATAAAATAGGCATAGGTATACAAATTTATACAAAGATGTCTAATAAAGTGGACAAAAAATATGTTGCTTCACCGTATACGTCGCATCTATTATGCGTCCCTCGGACGAGTCGCATTCGTTACGTGTCACCGCTGACTACCTGGAAATGTCGTCCGGTGTTGTGCCAAAAATCGATTGGCTGCCAAATGGCGGCTGCGGGAGCGTGCACGGGAGGACTTTAACAAGAATTTAAAAAGATTAACACCTAAAAACAATTAGTTGTTTGCTCGACTTTATAGTAGAGGTGTGTCTCAGTTGAACTTTGACTTAATAAATGCACTTCAGTTGTCAAATTAGCTGCATTTCTCTGGGGCGGGGCGGCAAAATGAAGTTGATTTGACAGTTGCTCCATGTATGATACCGGACCTGAAACTATGGCAAGCTGATGGTGTCAATAATAGCCACTTTTACATATTACATGACACAACGGCATGCCAAACTACTCGAGTGCCATCTAGCGGCTGAAAATAGTAGTGTTCAACATTTTCAGTTAGAATTAATGAAAACCGTCATATCTCAGCCAAAAATTAGTTTACAAATATGGGAAAAAAATCCATAAATACGTCGCTTCAGCATATAAGTCGCAGGGCATGCAAATGATACAAAAATACGCAACTTATAGGGCAAAAAATATGGTACCAATCAGCCTAACATGCATGTTTTTGGGGAGGAAACAGGAGTGCCTGGAGAAAAACCACGCATGCACAGAGAGAACTTGTAAACTCCACCCAGAAAGGTGCTGAGCTGGGAA